ATCCAGGCCCTGGTTGAGTGGGGCCAGCTTAGCTTCTGAGAGCAGAACAATACAAGGTGACTTGGGGCCATTTGGGAAGTAAGACAGGTTTAGATCATGGAAATCTGTAAGAGGCTGAATAGTAGAAGATGTGAGTGAGGACATAGCTCAGTGTTGTCTGGAGTTAAGGGATGGAACAGGACATCTTACAGGAGGGCTGGGAGTGGGTGAAGGTCATAGGTCAGAGGGTCCAAGGTTGCTACAGGGCAGCAGGCAACGGCACCTTGGGCCCCTATGGGTTAGGCAGGGAGGTGGTCCAAGGATGGCAAGCAGCTCCTACAGGCGTGAAGGGTTGGAGAGGGCAAGGAGGAGATGACTGGGGAAGGGATGCTCAGAGGTAGGGGTTTGAGAAGGAACAACACAGAATAATAGACTGTCCTTGGGTCTGGCTTCACTGGTGATGGCTTGAAGCAGACAGGGAAAAATGAAGCAGAAGTAGGGTTGAGGAAATGGTGGGCAGTGAGGTCATTATCACAGCTGTGACTTCCTGTCTGGAGGAAAGTGGAGGGGATGCTAGGAGAGCTGGCTTAGACAAAACTCCATCCCCCCACCTCCTCAAGCTTGGGAACTATGGCCATTCTTTAGAAAAGAAATGCCACATTTCTGAAACTCTTGAATGTAAAACCGAGGGGCTTTGACACAAATTATAAGTAATTAAAGCCTCAAAATGACCCACTGAGGTCTCTATGTTGCAGGTGATGGACCACTTCTGCTCACAATGAGTGACAGTCAGATATGGGAGGCAGGCTTTTTTGATGCTAAAATTCTAGACTCTATTTGTGAATTAAACAGAGGTGGTTAGTTATGTGAAATGTGTAAGGAAGATGATTTTAAAATCTGTGGTTAAATGGTAAATAGTAATGATAGTTGAATGAATGAATGAAACCATCAGAGACATGTGTTCCTCTGGACTTTCAGGTACCTCAGCACAGGCAATGGTGGGGGATTTACAATGGCTGCCTTTCTTCTAGCTTAGAGAGACTAGCGAATGGGATCCGGCTTTGCAACTGCTGGGAATGGCTGAGGAAGCAGAGGGAACTGGACAGACAGGAACCCTCTGCCAACACAGGCTGAGACAGAGGCTCTTGATAGGATGTTAGTCTTACCTCTGCCCTCAGTGCAGCTGAAGGATGTCTGGAGAGGCACAGAATGGGGTGCAGCTGAAGGATGTCTGGAGAGGCACAGAGATGGGGTGCAGCTGAAGGATGTCTGGAGAGGCACAGAGATGGGGTGCCCCCTCTTCCAGTTGTTGTGACTTCCACCCTCCAAGCCACTAACTGGGACTGAAGTCGTAACCCAGGTGAGAAAGTGACTTTAGGAATCTTTTCTAAAAATGTCTTGGTTTTCTCTGAGCGTCTGCACCAAGGTGACAAATCACGTCTCCTCAGTCATATATGCATGTGGATGTGTATACACAGATGTACGTGTATGCGTGTATATGTATGTATTTATGTGTATGTATATCTATATTTATAGTTCTATAAAGCTGCTTACCTTCCCCTTTTTGCTGGATTTTAGGACATTCAATTAGAGCAGTTTAATTTCCTTTATATTGCTAGATACATTTGTACACTCCTTTTTTTTGGTCCTAACTTTCTGTTCTTGTTTACATAATTTAACTTGTCTCAGTACTTTGCAGGGAAACAAAATAGAAAGTGAATCTCAGAATAATAAATGGAAAAGAAATGCCTTCTCCCTGTTCTGATAGAATCTTCTTGCTCGAAACAGGGACTGGGTTTGTTGTGTTTGGTAGCAGTGGCCGCCAGGCGGCACCAGAGCCCTCCTTCAGGGAGGCCCTTTGGTCTACAAGAGTCTCCCTGCAAGGACCATTGCTGGCAAGCCACACATCCTTGGGATGACTCCTATCCAGAAGCTCTGGGCTCTGGGCTGGAGACAGGCACATCTGACTCAAGTGGCCTTCAGGTTTCTGCCAGACACAAAGCGTATATGGTTATTGTCACAGATATTCCAGAGGAATGGAGCTGATCGGTTGGGGCTGGTCCAGGCCCCTGGAGGTGGAGCTTTGTCCCGGCGCTGGTTAGCATTTTGTCACCTTCACACATGCTAGTGTCACCTGGGAACCTCAGTGAGAAAATACCTCCATCAGACAGCCTGTGGGCAAGCCTGTGGGACATTTTCTTGACTGATTAATGTAGGAGGGCTCAGTCCACTGTGGGCCCCGGGGTGGTGTAAGAAAGCAGGCTGAGCAAGCCACGGAGAGCAAGCCAGTAAGCAGCACCCCTCCATGGCCTCTGTCTGCATCAGCTCCTGCCTCCAGGTTCCTGCTGTGAGTTCCTACTGTGACTTGCCTTCATGATGGGCTGTGACTGGGACATGTAAGCCAAATAAAACCTTTCCTCCCAAGTAGCTTTTGGTCATAGTGGTTATTACAGCAATAGAATGCCAAGACAGTCCCAAATGGAACATTCAGGGAGGGTGCCATGGGGCACAAGAGGAGCATTTTCACTGTCACCAAGTGTCCCTTAGACGCTTGTCTGAAAGGAATATACTACTCCTGGTAGTGGCATGCCACCTCTACAAATTTTGAAAGCAAGTTTCTGGGGCACTCACTAGAAAGATCTGAAGGTCCCCATGCTATTGCTCATGTTTGCTTGCATTCTTTACTAGGAGGGATTATGGCATTTAAAGACATTTGTAACTAGCCCTCTATGCCCCCAAACTAGAAGAAGCCTTTGGCAAAAATTGGAATGATATACTCATGTTTTTTTAAATATTTTTATAAATTTTTATATTCAGGTGCCTGACTCTTCCTAAATCCATTTGTTGCAATAATTAATGGTGACAAAGTGTATTTCTCCTGAGAATTTTTTTTCCCAACATTAGCTTCGCCTGTTACTCTCGCAAGCATTTCCAGGGTATCCAGGAGAGGTGGAACCCAGCACAGAGCAGACACACGAAGCAATGGGACCTGGGGTGGGGAAGGGGGGGGCCACTGTCCACTTACTCCCAGAGGTCCCCTGACATCCAGGCCTGGAGTTCACCAGCAAGAACTGCTGTTGGTACTGTTGTCGGGGTGTACAATGGAGAAGCACTCCATAGTTCGCTTAAATTTTTGTTATTTTTAGATTTATTTCTGTGTATGAGTATTTTGACTGTGTATATGTATGTATACCACATGCATGCCTGGTATGAAGGCCAGGAGGTGGATTCTGATACCCTGGATCTGGAGTCATGGGTGTGAATGCTATGTGAATGCTGGGAACCAAACCCAGCTCCTCTGAAAGAGGAACAAATGCTCTTAACCACTGAGTCATGCCTCTCTTGTTTTGTTTTTTGATGCTGGGATCGACCCCAGGGCCCCATGTATACTAGGTGGATGGGTACCACTGAGCTGTGCCTACCACCCTCCATGGTTGATTTGATTTGCCCTAAATTTTTTTTCTGTATTTCTGTGAGTCTGCTCAGGTGTCTGATAGCTGACAGAGTAGAGAATTCATTCCTTCTACAGAGAGAAGGGCTAGAAAAACAGACATTTCTCCTGGTTTTCCAGGGAGGAAGACACCAGCCATGTACTTAAGGCATTCTTGGCTAAAAGCAGGCATCTGGTCTCCCCTGGGACTCTCTAGATGGAGCAGTGGAATCCTCTGCTGTGATGGCCCTGTTCTTTGGGCCTCGACACTCAAGGAACACTAGGACTAAAGCCAGTTTGTTTCAACAAATATCAACCCTTCCCCTGTCACAAAAGGGTCATCCCTGTCCCCATGAGTCCCTCTGATATACATGTAACCAACCGATGCAACTCAAGGTGATTTTTGTAGTTTGTCAGTTCAGTTGGGGACACAATGAGAAGATATCTGATGTCTAAAGCAGTCACTAGGTAGTGCTTAGTGTAGGACAAAGTGACACCCTGAACAGCAACTAAGAATCAAGGCAAATAAGGGATGGAATGTAAACTTGACCAAGGCATTTACTAGTCAGCCTTTGCTTGGAGGGTGGGGTGGTTTAAGGTCAAGGATGTAAGAGATTGGTCTCACTAGACAATTTAAAGCAAGGGATAAAGTGGATACTCCCTACATCATTGAGCCTAATTTAGAAGAGACATAGCTTATGTGATTGTCTCAGTATTTTTCAGCTGAACAAATTTGTCATCTATTGGATTCCAGTATGTATCATGGGGTACAGCTTGAAGAATCAGGATCCACTCATGGGCATCAGGAGGAATGTAATAGTTAGCACAGCCCGAAGCCAAGGTTTTACAGAATGGAACTGTGCCTGTGACCCTCCATAGACCCCTCCATCCCCATGCCAACCCAGGGGAGCTGGGCATGGTCTGAAGCAGAAGGGTGGCATTCACAGGCCTTTCTTCTATGTGGTAGCTCTGACATCTTTTTGGGGTCATTCAGTTTAGTAGACAGAATGATGGGGGGACATTTCACAGAGGAAGGGTAGAAATGCTGATAATGGAGCTGAGCTCCAAAGCAATCCTCATGGGCTAAGTATACTAAAACGTGTACCGTGGAGAACAAAGACAGAAGCCATTACAGGGAGCCATGGAGGGCACTCACTTCTGCCTCGCTGACATCTGGCTGTGATGCACTGGCTTCCTGTCTCTGGAGGCTTGCCACGATCCCAAAGCTAGCTTTCCTCCTCTATGATGTTAGCATGCTGTTTATGGACATCAGCTATTGACCTGGAGTCATACTTCTGGGCTAGAGGTGGGCTTCAGGGGCTTACTGGGAACCAGCATTGCAGAAAGCATCCCTCTGCATTCTGAGCCTGGGGCTCTGAAGTCACTGGCTTGATCTGAGAAGCCAAGTTTCTTGGTGTCATACACATCAGCAGCCACAGTGTTGGCTTGGAGAAATCTAAGCTGATGGTCCCCTGGCATCTCGAATCAACCTTCCACAGCCATCTATCTTGAAGGCTCCCCCAGCTGCTGCTTGAGCCAATGCTGACTATAACCTGTTCTTAGAAATGAAGTTTGATTGCAGTTCAGCCGCTCTCATTCACATATATTTTATTTTTCATGCTACAGTAGAAGCAATAGCAACATATTTGGATAAAGTTTAAAACATGATTGACACAGTTTAAAATATTTATCATCTAGCCCTTTTCAGAAGTTGGCTTACTCCTGATCCAGAATTAGAAGAGACCATGTTTTTATTTATTTACATTGGAGCAGAAATCAGAGTCCTAGGAAGTCCAAAGTGTTTGAGGCCAGGCAGAGTCCCAGGCTCTCCATGTGAGGATGGTGAAGCCGAGGCTGATCCATGGTGATGGATGATAAGGGAGCCTGAAGGCCCTGCTGGAAAGTGTCTGAGCTGCTGGTGTAGGCCCTTCCAGAGAGGAGAAAACTCTGCCATGAGTAATTTAGGCAAGAAGCACCACGCTGGGGCAGGGAAAAAGTACACACCCATGCTTTTCTTTCCCAAGGATAAACAGAATGTAGGGACAGTTTGGCATTGCCACCAATGCCAGCACTTGGCATTGGTGAGGTTGGGTTGGAGACATAGGTAGACAGGCGGTCTAACCACCATTCACACAGTGGCAGCAACGGACAAGAGTGTGGGATGGGGAAAGCTGGTGTGGCTGCAGCGCCCGCTTTCCCTAAGGCTTCTGTGCACCGGAGGTTGGCTGGGCAGGGCAGCACTGTGCTTCCTACTTCCGGGAGTAGGGCATGTGCTCACACGTACAATCCAAAGGCCAGCCAAAACCCTTCCAAACATTTGAACTGTTTACTGGAGACAGTGTTACAAAAGAGGACTCTGGTCATTTATGGAGAGATGCATGCAGCCTTTAGAGTGTGCTTTTTAAGTCAGAGAATCTCACACCCATTTCCCTATCACACCTCATAACCTGCTACTTGCAACTGCAGGCAATGAGTCCTCTTACACAAATCAGTCCAGAGGGGATGGTCTACAGGTTTGCCTACTCCCATGGACCGGCTGTGGAAGAGTGTGCAAAACTACGTTTCATAACTCAGATTATTTTGTAAGTGTGCAAGGCATTGGTTACTCATGCTAAACCCTTATAAGGTTTACTAGCCAGTTGTGTGTAAACTCAGATTTTTCAAGTGCTGAGTGGCTTCAAAGCAAGGCATTCTGCTGTCTGATACAGGTTGGCAGCTGTCCTGTGAAGCCATCACATCCACTGGGAGCAGGACTTCAGGATTCCAGGGTCTCTGGTCCCTGTGTGACTGCCTGTGGGGAACCAGAAAGGCATGCGTTCTGTACTGCACACTGAGCTCTAATAGGAGTCACTTGGTGTCCTTTTCCCATTCAAGATTTTGGCTTTAGTTATATTACTTTCATAGTATGAGTAATTGTTACATCAGCTCTGTCTGACTACGTTTTTTTTTTTTAATTTCAAATAATTACATGAAACATTAAATTGTATAATTGAGCATTCAAAAATAGATTAAATAGATTTTATGATTTAAATGTGTTGAAAATTTATTTCCATAGAAATGTCAGTTCTTTTTTTCTGAGCCTTTAGAAATATGTCACCTATCAGTTAAGGATAGATGGCATGGCAAACATGTTAACAATCTCCCAAGATAGATAATTAAGTTCTTGTGAGATCAAGCAAATGGGATCAAGATCACCCTGTGAACAAAGAGCAGGAGGCAGTGGTACCCAAGTTTCTGTGACTGAGTCTGTCTGAAAACCAAGACATGCTCAGATGTAGAACTCCTCCATGTCATTATCCTCGGGACCAGCTGTTGGGGGCAGGAGCACATCTTGGCCACCCTGTGTGGCTTTGGAGTCGTGACAAGGGAGCTGTGGGGGTGACTCTGTGAGCAAGGAGACACCAGAAGCTGAGAGAGCAGCAGTAGTTATTTCTGCAGGGCTGGAGACCCTTTGGAGAGGAAAGGATGGGAATCCCAGGAGGTGTCTGGGCTCACCTCACTGGCAGCATGCAGTGGTCCTTCCTTGGGACTCTTGTGTGCTGGCCAGTGGCTGCTACATCTCTTGGAGGGGAGGGATGACTCCACTGTGTTGCAAAACCTACTGGGTGCAGAATACGCAGAGACCACAGACAGGTCTGAAGAGGACAGCCGCAGGCCCGTGTCCACATCTGTCTCCTGGGCCCCCTCTAAGTCATCAATGGACAGGAGGTGACCGGGTCTCCACTCTGATGCGCTGTGTCTCTGGGAACCAGTCAATGGCGGCTGTGGTTCAGTTGGGGAGGGGCCTCCACTGGGCAAACAAAACAAAGACTTGCTCCTCTGGAAAGACCAGGCAGGGCTGGAGGTGCTTGACTGTGGGGTACACTCCTGCTTGTTCCCGGGAAGCAGGGCCACCGGGCTAGACCCCAGGGATGGGCTGTTCTGCAGGGCTGTCTGGCTGTTGCCCTGTGCTGTGCTTACAGTGTCGATGGTTGGCGAAGGTGTGGGATGAGGCCTCTTCTCAGAGGAGCGGTGTGCTCTGCTGCCTCTGGGGACCTTCTTGTGTGTCCTCTGTGCCTGTGGAGAGAGGGCTCCATTAGTCAGAGGAGACACTGGGGCTCACTGTTAAATGCAGCATCAAACATATTGCCATTCATTGGAAACTTCTAACTCTCTCTGTCTAGGAAGTTGTCTCCAAGACTGAGAAATACATCTGGCTCCTTGTTGTGACAGGGAATCGTACTGTGTAAAGTCCACATGTGAATGTACCGAGGAATGAGGGCACAGAGGAACAGACAAATGGGGAGATGAGACTCCTTAGACGTCTCCCCGCACGCCCCAAAGCTCTGCTACCTCTGTCTCTGCTCTCCAGCTTGGCGCACACAGCAAGGCTTTAGCTGAGGGAAGACTAAATGCCGCCCACACTCTTTCACATTTCTAAGGGTTTCTCATCCTTTGGACTTGTCTGTTGGGTACATTTACTTGTTGACTTTAAGCAATATGATTTCCTGTCACAATGAGGAACCAATTGTATCTCCCTCACCCCTAGATTGAGATATGCTCGAACAATTTGAGATCACATCAGCATGGGACCAGAGGCCAGCACGTATGGTTTCCCAGGTGTCTTGTGACTCTTCCTGGAGAGACATGAGCAAACATCTATTTGACCAGATAGGGTACTGATGATACATTAAGTCCAGCTTGGTGGGCCAATGAGTTCACTGGGTTACTTACAGTAGCCACTCCATGGTAGCTGTATCACCAAAAAAGCCCAGCCCAGCATGAGTGATGGATGACTCACGAAAGCTGTATCCTTTGCTATCCCTACCCAACTTGAAGGCAGCTCCATGGAAGAGAGTCTCTCCCCAGCAACTGTTTACTGTTTTTATCACCTTGGAAAGGGCCTTGTGACTCTTTTAACTTTCTCAGTGTCCTGAGATACTCAACTTCCTGCAGCTCCTTCCAGGAGGGACTGTTTTCTATTCAGAGAAAGTAGTTTCTCAACACCAAGACACAATCTAGTATGGGAAGTATGTTTTCCACAAAAGGGAAGGTGTTGGGGCTTGGGGGGCGGGTGGTCAGCATTTATTTACATGATGATAGGAACTACAGGTTCCTTTCTACATTTTACCTTTCAGGAATTAGGTACAAGAAGGGGAATTGTTGCTTCCTGATGAATCGTGAGGACGCTTGATAGGGAAGACGGTTTCACCCTTCATTTCCTCACTCTGCTCATATTTCACCCACCAGCCCCGCTCAGCTCAGCAGTTCACTGGGACCTGGTACCGTCAGCATGAAACCGGGCCCTTTGATCATACACATTTCACCCCCTCTGCTTCTCTCCAATTATTCCTCTGGCCCAGAACCAAGAGTAAAATGCAAAGTTTCAATTAAACAATAGGTTTGAGGACAGTGGGTCTGGATTTATTTAGGAAAGGTGCACCTGATTTATGACTCCCCAGGATAACAAAGTTTCTGCCAGGGTTTTACTTCTGGTGCCTGCGGCTGTCCCCCGACCCGTCTGTCATCTCCTTTAGTAGCTAGAAGAGGTAGACATTTCCTTCTAACAGGCTGCAGCACTCATCTTCATAACAGACACTCCCACCTTCCCCAGTAATGAGGAACCTGGTCTCCACAAGCCACCTAGGAGTATTGTCCAGTGGAATATGTATCCATTGAGTACTTCTCATGGCAAAGAAGGGGCAGCTACAATGGAAACGATTCTGGTTTGACCACAGGAATTTACTTTTTAAACATCATTGAAAGGATAGAAGGCAAAAGAAACAGGAGATTAGAGGATGGGATGGTTGGCCCCTGAGGGTACTGGGAGAGAACACATCTTCCCAGGGGGGCAGAGCAGACTTCAGTGGAGGTGGGTTCCGAATCACACACAATACAGGACATGGCATGCCAAAACTAGGTGTCTTTCTGGCAGGATGGTGGTGTGTAGCAGGGGAAGGGAGTTGGATGGAGGCAGGGAGCCCATTCAGAAGCCACTGCCATGATGCTCCAGTTCTTATGTTTTGGGGATACCTAAGCTCCACCTGTACGATACACACAGTCTGTCCTCAGCCATGGACTCAGAGCAGAATCTCCTGGGATGGTCTGCCTTGGTGTTTTTCTCTGTATTGCTCAGTCTGCAGCCTGTTTGGCTTTTGTCCCCATGACTTGCTGACCCTACTCCATCTCCTAGGCCCTGCATGTCACAGTGGCATCCCAAAGCTGTTTTTATTAAGTGTAGCTTAAGGAACTAAAGTCAATCAGTGGCAAGACGACTTCTGCAGGGCTACAGAGATGGTTCAGGTGCCAAAGTGCTTGTTAACAATTGTGGGGACCTGAGTTTGGATCCTTAGCAGCCATGGAAAAAGACAAGCATGAGTCTGCCATCCCAGGGCTGGGGAGGGAGATGGGCAGATCCCTGGAGCTTACTGGCTAGTCGGGCTAGCTGAAATGGTGAGCCTAAGGTTCAGTGATAGACCGTATCTCAAAAAAAATTAGGTGGATAGAGTTTGTGAAAGGCACCCAGTGTTGACCTATGGCCTCTCCATGAATGTGCACATGTACGTCCACACAAAACCACATATGTACACCACACATACAATATTTTTCTCAGATCCTAAATTATGGATGCTTAAAGAATATCATGCAAGGCCCAAGTGCACCCGAGACAAAGCAGCTGTTATGAGACAAACCAATTTTCGTCATCACTTAAGCTTGGCTGGGTAAGAGAGAAAACAGGATGAGCTTGTTGGGGGAAGGAAGCCCTGAGGGATGGCGACTTCTTCAAAGTCTGGAAAGGCATAGTTCCCCCAGGTACCTGAGTGTTGTTTGCTTATTGACAAGCATGAGCCACAGTGTAGCCACAGCTTCAGCGCCTCTAAGGTTCTTAGTGAGGGAGCCTGCAGTCTGGATCGACTTGAAAAGGGAAGCCAGTGGGCACAGCTTCTGGGCATGCCGAAGATCAAGGTTCCCAGTCAAGAGACCGCTAAGGGACGTACAAATCTGTCACTCTCAAGGAGCACGATGGAGTTAAATTTGGCTCAAAGTCCAGCATGGTAGGCAGGTGGACTGTGGGCTTTAGCAGAGGAGTTCATGCTTTCCACAAGCCCACGTGTGTTCTCTCTAGTTTCTACGACACCATGAAGGCAGGAGGCCAGAGAAACCCCACGTCCTGCTGCTCTGAAGCAAGCTGGCAGCCACTCTGTTTGGCTGGGGAGTGCAACTAGTACAGTGGCGGTGCCTGCTGGGCGTGTGTAACTCAGGCTGGCACAGTGCTAAGGACAACCGCGGGCATCCTGGGGGAAGGAGGCTATGGAGCCTCTCCCACACCACCATCTTAGAGCCAGTGCTGAGGAACATGGTGCATCTACCTGGCCGCGGGCTGGGGTCTTTCTCTAGCTTTAGCTAGTAGGATCTCATCTGACTAAAGACAGCTCCTCCGTGCCAAGGATGGAGCCTCTCTGCTGTGTTTCCCCAGGGCTGGCTCTGTTTCCTGCCTCTCTTGTCTGCTTGACTAGGAACAACAAGGGCTGAGAGTGAATCCAGAAACTCTGCCCTCGTGGGATTTACCAGAGTGAAACGGGAGCTTGGGCCTTCAGTGTTTGGCTGCCAGCTCTCAGGGGTGCCCCGTGAGCCCCAGCAGTGACAGCAGAGCCGGTGTGAAGGCGGCCTCCCTCCCTTCTCTCTGGAGCAGTGTGGGCTGGAAGTCCCACTGGAATTCACAAGCTCCTTTCCTCACTATTTAAGGAACTCTCTCACAGAGCAGAGCAGCATGCATAAATTATCTGCCGAGGGGCAAGCGGCCAGGGAGACCTGGCCGTGCTTCTCCTGTCACCAGGAAATTGGAATCCAGCTATGAGCTCGCCCTGAGACCGCAGCACAGGCAGTTTTCTGGTGAGGTGAAGCCGTCTCCTGAGCCGAAACACCGTTCTGAAAGGGTCTTAAGAGGCTCTCATTCTTAGACATGTGGTAGAACCGTTCCTTCTGTTAGTGCTAGTAGAGGTGAGTGGGTCTCCCTTCCAGGGGCCTGGAGTGTCTCTCAGCTCGTTCAAGGTCAGGAAGTCCTGCCTCCGCCTCCTCTTTCTGACTAAGGCCATCCTCTCCTGCTCTGTCCTTGGCAAAACCATGGCCGGCACAGCACTATCTCTGCTGTCTAATAAATCAAAGACAGACCTTTAAACTCAAGGATTAATAACAACGAGGGGCATCTCAAGGAAACTGGGTAACTGAGTCATGAGAACCTGGGGCTTTCCTCTACAGCTGGGGTTCCCCATAAGAAGGTGGGCTTTGCTCTCCGCTCACTTTCCTCTAGGAGGTGTCCATATTCTTTCTAAGGATACCATCTATGGCCAAAGCCTATGTCCCCTTTTGAATGGTCAGGAGGAAAAGGCAGAGTCAGAGGAGAAGGACAAGGTCAACTTAAGTGGAGACAGCCAGGTACAATTTGTGACACCTGACATTTTGAGGTAGGAGGTGGGAAGACTGGGAAGCAGATGACTGGCTGTGTGAATACTCGGTACTTTCAGGGGGCTGGGGAGATGACTCAGCAATTAAGAGCACAGACTGCTCTTCCAGAGGACCCACATTTGACTCCCAACACACACACACACACACACACACACACACACACACACACACACACACACACACACACACGGCAGCTCACAACTGTCTGTAAGTCCAGATCCAGAGGATCCGACGCCTTCTTCTGGTCTCTGTGGCACCAGGCACTCATGTGGCACATAGACTTACATGCAGGCAAAACATCTATGTACATAAAATAAAAATTAAAAAGAAAAAATCTGGCCGGGGCGGTGGTGGCGCACGCCTTTAATCCCAGCACTCGGGAGGCAGAGCCAGGCGGATCTCTGTGAGTTCGAGGCCAGCCTGGTCTCCAAAGCGAGTTCCAGGAAAGGCGCAAAGCTACACAGAGAAACCCTGTCTCGAAAAAACAAAAACAAACAAACAAACAAAAAAAAAAAAACAAAAAGAAAAAATCTGGTAGTTGAAGGCAATTTATCTGGAGTGTCATTTCCTACCCTCCTTTCTTTTCCACCACTATGGAACTGTGAGGACTT